CGTACAGTTCATCTCAACCAATGTTCATTGATCACCTACCTGTGCCCCTTGTGGGCTAAAAGAAGATAAGACTACGACTCATACTGCCTTTACAAGCTTGATATCATCAGGGGTGGTGCTGTGCATGTGTGTGGATAAGTTTATAAAATGTGAATATAGTTTATGATAAGAGGAGATGAGAATGGCACTTTAGGAGAAACTGAATAGAGTTTCAAATGATATAGCAACCACACAAGTAGAAAAAGAAGTTGACAGAATTGGTGGGTCTTTCATGAACCTGAGTAAGAAGAAATGAGTTAATTACAGGGTGGTATTTATTAACGATAGTGCTAGGACAGGAGGAGATTGGGTGATGACTGGGAGAATACATCAGTGGAGCAGTAGGGGACAAGGGTCAGGTAGGGAGCATTGATCAAGCAGAATTTACCTAATGGAAGAGCCAATAAAAATCTAAAGAATCTGTAATTTTGTAATAAGAGGTAAATGAAATAAAGGATATTTCCTGAATGCCCTATTCCAAGGATTAGTCAGGCTAATGGTGAATTAATCTCAGAGGAGTTAGAATTTAGGTGCCAGGGGTACTAGATTCAAAGATTAAGAATGCAAGAAATTTCATACCTTATAGTTGAGTTAGATATCGTTAGTCTTGCTTAGTCTTGTTAGTATTATTCTGAAAATCACCTTTCAAGCTATCCATCAGCTCATGACAACAAGAGAATGGTTCAGTCTCAGTAGCCAAATATTCAGCTTGGCAACTATTTCTGGTAATACTTCTTATATACGCATGTTTATATTTTATAAAAAGAAAATGCAACACATGAATGTGAATACCAATGTAGTTCTTATTTGTTACTGGCAGCAAACTTGCTTTTTTAGAATTCTGCTAACACGGCACCTTCACATATGGCCTGCGGGGCAATGAAGCTGCCAAGTGGAAAATGCACCAGGCCACTTGCCTACACCTGGAACTTCCTCCATTGACTAGTGATCGTCACTTAAGTTCTCTGAGCCTTGGTTCCTTATCTGTGAGATGAGGGAGTTGTATACATAATCTGAAATTTCCCTGTCTTCCCTTGTTCTATTCTTCCCTCTCATTATCACTCAGGAGGATATGTCCTTCTTTTCTGAGACTAATGTTTCTACTCTTGTTTCTAACTCCATTTAGCTTCCACTTGACTCTAAGCCAATCAATGTTCTCTCTCTTTTTTTCCCCCAAACCTCGCATATCTCTGTGACTTCTCCACTCAAGATTTTAATTTCTGTGTTTATATATATAGCCCCCAAATTTATAAAAACTTGAACAATGCATTTGCAAGTGCCTGCTGAAAGTCTCCTTGTGGATAGGCTCTTAGCAGGCCATTTCCATATGTTCAAAATCAAATTTATTAATTTCTCCTATGAACCGGCCATGTCTTCTCTAGAAGTTCATGGCATCGCTATCTATCCAGTCATATTGGCAAAAATTCCCAGACTTTCCCTAACCCCCTCTTACTCTTAAATCCTCACACTTAATTACTCACTGCCTTCTGACTGTCTGTGTAGTATCTTCCTATCACGTCACCACTAGCCTAGTTCTGCCCCTCATCGTTCGTCAGCACTCGGGTGATAGACTCCTAATTGGTCTCCTGTCCCCAGACTCTTGGAACACCAATCAGTCTGCACACTGCTATTCTAAACTGTGCAAAAACATGCACACTATTTTACTCTCTCTCTAAAAAACCAGTTACAGACTTGTGTTTTGATTTATGAATTATTTGCATTCATTTTCTCCATAATCATGATGTTTATCTCTTTTAAGATTGGATCACGTTGTATGGACAAGTTTTCTCTAGCGATCAAGGGGTGCTGCACACAGCTACAGTCCTCCTTTAGGATGCATGTTCAATTACGTTTCTAGGGAGGTAATTTTTTAGGGAGACAGTCTTTGGGGTCTGACTGATCTTGGTTTGGTCCTCAATCTGCTAAGCTGAATCTCAACTTTCTCAACTCTAATAAGAATAATAACCAACATTTGTTGAGTGCATGCACTGTGCTAGGCACTTTTTGAAGTCCTAGTTATTGTATGTAAAACTCTAAACAACTCTCTAAGAGAGACATCTTATTATTGTCCTCATTTTTCTGGCAAGGTAACAAGCTTAAAGAGATAATTTGTCAAGTTCACCTAGTTTGTAACAGAAGAGTTGGGATTTGAACACAGACATTTCAATCCCAGAGCCTATGCTTTCAATCGCCATTATATACCATTTCCACAGCAAGGATATATAGGATATGTGCATGCTATAATGTATGTAAATTATCTGGTAAGGGCTCAATACATGTCACTTCACTTTCTCCCTATATGTCAAAAAAAAAATGTTTTTAAAGTTTTAATGGTTTTCACATATGTATGTTTTGTCTAGGCAACCAGATGGAATCTTCCTCCTGGCAGGTTTTATTTTTTGCATTCTCCAAAAGAATTCAAAACACTGCCTTGCACATTGTCAGTTCTCGACAAATGTTTGTTGATTGACCAAGTGAATGAATGAAGGTCTGTTTTTATTTGCACTGAATAAAATTTAGCTTTCTCAGAATTCATTGTTCTCATTTTCTTTGTATAAAAAAAGAGAACAAGAGACATTGCATATATATACATATTTTATATATATGAGATAGATAGATAGATAGATAGATAGATAGATAGATAGATAGAAGGCTTTGAAATGTGTAATCCAATCTCTTTTTCCCATTGTTTATTTGTAAGATGACACATTTCTCTAAACACCAATGATGGGAAATCATTGACTCTCAGGTTTCATGCACCCTTTGTTGCTGGGTGAGACTCAAAGTGAAACTGTACAAAATGATTATTGGTATTGCTCAAAAAGATGGCAAGCAGTGTCAAGAGGAAAAAGTGGCATTATTGTAGTGGATTTGAAAATAAAGGGCAATTTCTTTCTAGCTCCAAACATCTGGACAAAGAATATAAATCTTTTTTTTTTTTCCTGCAGTTTTAACTGAAGTTCATTGGAACTTTTTCCAATGAAATCGAATGCATTTTGTTCCATTGTTGCTTTAGGATACTGTTGTATGTTTTAGAGCCATAATTTAAGAAAAAGTTTATTAAATATCTAGCTTGTTTAATAATATCAATTATATTTTTCACTTAAGGTTGTTTTCCCCCTTCTATTCCAGTGTTTTCTATTAAGAGGGTATACTTTGAGTGTTTTTCCAGTTTGCATATAATTCCTAATGTTAAAACAATCTTTTGAAGGAAGAAAATCACTAAATTTCAACTACATTTTAAGCATTTTCCATATTTAACGAGTATTTTGGCCAAATTCCCATGACTAGGAGAATTAGAAGATTAGACAATTAGAGAAAATAGTTACTGAAACATTTTGCTCAAAGTGCTACAATGCTCTCAATCTGTCATTGTAAATGGATTAATGCATTCAAAGAGTCAAGGGAACAGCTAAATAAAAGAAAGAAAATGTGGTTGATACTTTGTGCAAGAACACCAAGGTCAAGGGCAAATTGATGTGGATTACTTTGACAATATCAAATAATTTCATGGGAATGGTGGACACCAGCAGTTCTCTAACACCAAGGATGAAACAATAAAAATTTGGTCTAAATTTTAGAAAAAGAGATTTAGAGAGAGGAGTACGATGTGGAATCTCTTTCTTTGGGCAATTCGTGCGAAAGGATAGAAGTCTAGCTTTCAAAAAGGGATCAAGTATATTTCCTGTATTGAATTAGGGGATACGTTGGATAAATACTCTCTGGCACTGTGAATTTCAGAAGTCTCCCACTTATAAACCAATGGCTTTTAAAGGTTCTTTTCTGTTAGCTGTCGGAGTATACATAATGGATGTGTACTCATAGAAATAGTAAGCACACATGGAGGTCTGTGTTATATCATCCCTAAACTGCTATACCAGTGTTCTTTGTACACAAGTTCTTGTTCTTTCTAGAATGAAGAGTGACATTTTTTGAGTCTTGGATTTCTTGGAAAAGCTATGCATGCACAACATCTTGCAAATAATTTTTAAAATTTCCTGGAGTCTGTGAATCTGCTTTGTAAGGTATAGCTTTCCAGCCTCTGAACCCTAATTTTTCTGTGAAAAGAAACTAAATCCTAGTCCAGGGCATTCTCAATGCTGCATACCTTCCTGGAACTCTGACAATTTTCTTTGCTATTAGTTGAAAATATGCCTTGGCTGTAGAATCAGTTTGAGCTCTCACATAAAAGCATGGACTTTCAAACTACTGTTTCAATAGTTCTTACATGGTGCTAAGTATTTTTACATAGTTTTCTTCATTTAATTCTCATAATAATCATATGAACTGTGACTATTTTAGACATGAACAAGTTAAGTCTTGGGAGAGTAATGTATTTTTTTATTTCAAATTCACAAGGTGAAAACTGTGAAATTTTTAACCCAAGTGCTCTGACTGTATTCACAGATTCCCCATTTTCTGCAATGGCTGACACCACAGTTCCAAACTTATATTTAGAGTCATACATCTGTCCTTAGGATACTTTATTACTGCCATTTCTTGTAATTGCTCATCCTTCAAATCTTTTTGAATTCCAAAGCCAAGCCTTCTGAAATTAGCACCTCTGTTCACTACTCATCATTTAAGTTCAAATGCCAGTCTTTACACCCTACATAAATTATTCCATGCTTATAATCCCTGTTCTTTTTACCTATCTATCATTTGCAGTATTATTTGTAATGAAAAATGTCTTCCCTATTTGATTAGAGCTGTCAGCCTGGGGTTTTCTCTTCTGAGCTGACCTGGGGAATCTGTAGGCATCTATTAATTCACTCTGTCCTACGTATTTAACTCTCAGTAGAAGGGAAGGTCTCTAGACCTATGGATGTCCTGATGGGGAACAAGGAGAGTTAACTCAGTATAGCATCTTTGCCCTTGGATTCTCTGATTCAGATGAGAATAATTCTTATAAGTTGCGTGTTGTGCATTTATTAAATCATCAATCCAATAATGTTACTTACACATTGAAATGCTCACTGAAGATCAAGTTGGTGGAGGTACCAGTGATCGTTGTCAGTCCTCCAATGGTGGAAGAGTAAGCAATGCACAAGCACATAAGTTTACACATCATGTGGTCCTTCTTTGTTCGATATTTGGTTTCGGTGCCTGAATTCTGTTCAACAAGAAAATGTAATATGAGAACATCTCTGTTTGTGTTCATGACAAGCAGTAATAGCATTTGTTATAGACTGAATGTTGTGTCGCCCTCAAATTCATGTGTTGAAGCCCGAACCCCCAATGTTATGGTATTTGGAGATGGGCCCTTTGGGAGGTAACTAGGATTAGAGGAGATCATGATGGTGAGGTCCTGGTCTGATGGGATTAGTGCTCTTATAAGGGGAGACACCAAAGAGCTTGATCTCTCTCTCTCCACTGTGTCAGAACACAGCAAGAAGGCAGCTGTCTGAAACCCAAGGAGAGAGTCCTCACCAGACACTGATCCTGCTGGCACTTTTGTCTTGGATTTCCAGTCTCCAGAACTGTGAGAAACAAATTCCTGTTGTTTAAGCCACCCAGTCTATGGTATTTTGTTATGGCAGCCTAATAATACAGCATTTATCTTTCCATCAATAGAAATGTAACAATGAAAATATTTAATCTGAAGCAACTAGAAGGATGTGCAACCATGACATACAACTATCTACTGGGGCTTTGGGGAGAAAAAGGGAAAAAAAGGAGGAGGATTAGCAATAGATGTTAGCTCAGGGCTGATCTTCTTCACATACACACAAAAATTTAACCTGAAATAGTGAAATTATTTTACAAGCATAATTTCATTCATTTGCTCATCTTTCTTTCTTATTCCCGAAACAACTCTTCCCCTCTTCTCTTCTCACAACCACTCACAAGTCTTTCAACTCTTTTTCTAGTGAATTGTTGGTGTATGGTCAGTGAGTCCCTCAACCTCTTTTTAGGGTGTTTCCCTACCTTGGTACCTTAACTGATGATCCCCAGAGGATACTACTTCTTCTGAAATTGGATGTTTTCAACCCCATATTCTTCAGCATTGAGAGATGGAGTCAGTGTCCTCCTTGCAACCCATTATCACTTACAGAACATTGATCCTCTACTCATATGAAAACAAATTCATTTTTCTTTAAGGCTCATGTAATTTGGGTATTTCTTTCTCTCCCCATTCGTTTTTTTATTTTTTTGGTGAGGAAGACTAGCCCTGAGCTAACATCTGTTGCCAATCCTTCTCTTTTTGCTGAGGAAGATTGTCCCTGGGCTAACATCTGTGCCCATCTTCCTCTACTTTATATGTGGGATGCCTGCCACAGCATGGCTTGATAAGCAGTGTGTAGGTCTGCACCCAGGACATGAACCTGCAAACCCCGGGCTGCAGAAGCAGAGCATGTGAAGTAAACCACTACACCACCAGGCCGGCCCCTCTCCCCATTCTTTTGAACATGATATTCTGATCTCTTGGTCACCCATTGAAGTCATTTGCATCTGGCATGCAACATTCCTCCATCCTCCAAATCCTGTCAGCATCAGGATAACTATAACATGTTCAAGAATAACCCTTCAAATATACCGGCCTCACAGAATTTTTTATCTAATTTCCAGAGACCTTCAACTCATCTCTACCTCAGTCACCCTCTCACATAGTTACACCCTGGACAGCATCACAACCTCAAATGGCTCCATCTGGGAAGTCACGATTTTAAATGTGTTTTGTTTATGAATACGACTTACTAGAGTACAAGCCAAAAGCAACTTCATTCCCTCTCTCACCCATGGCCCATAGAAACACATTCTGTTGATCTGATTTTTGCTATCCCTGGGGTGAAATGTGGGGCAGAATCTATAACTTTCCTGGTCACTTCACTTAATAAATAGTCTTTTGGTCATGTTTAGTAGGAAAAAAAAGGAAACTCACTTCAGTAATTGAAAGCAATAGTACTCCATTTAATAACAGAAGTCCCAACTTCATTTAAAGTTAAATCTTCTCTTCTCCCCTAGATCACGCCTGCTTAAAAGCCCGTAGTTGGAAGGAGGTTTGTGGGTTTGGCTTTTTCTCTCTCTTCTAGCTCCAAATCCTTCCACCACTTGCTAGTCTGTTTCTAACCCTCCGTATTAGGAGTGCCAGGGGATGAACAGGATCAGGGGAGGAGAGGTAAGGATTAGCAGAGGTCTTATTTGACTGATAGAGCTAAGATATGACATTAGTACTTTCTAGGCATGATGGCTGTTCAAAATGACTCCATTTGGTGGGCGCTTTCATGGATCCTTCAGAGAGTCGTATCATCCCAAGAGGAACATCAGATTGCTGCTCCTCCTATGTAGCTAATGCATCTCTTCCACTTGCTTGCTTATGACACACTATGGTTTCAGCATGTGATGGTCCACCCAGTCTCTTTATGCTGAGGTCAACTAGCCCTGTCAAGCCCTCTTGGGGAAAGTTGCTTTTCAAATGACCCCAAATACCACCCCTTCCATATGTTCCCTACATCTGTTACATGGAAACAGGTACCTCTGCCCTGTTGGCAGTGAAAGTGCAGCTGAAACTCCATTAGGTGAGGAGATTCAGCCACGACCTTCCACTTTCAGATTCTTCAAGAGTGTGTCGAACACTAATCCACTGACCTCGTCTAAGTCTAGGGGACAGATTCTCAAGCTCCCCAAGTAGTGGTATCTCAGTATCTATCTCACCATCTTGAGGTAAGTGGGAGGCTCTTCCTTTCCCTTCTCCTTGGTAGTACAGGCTACAGGGAGTTTGGGAAAATATTCCAACTTTCTCCAAAGGTAGACTATCTCTCAGCCTTCTCATTTTCAACACTAAGTTTGAGTCTAAAACTGTTTTTTTGTCACTTCCTTTGTAAATCCTGTGTAAGTGGAACACAGGAATACTTATGGGATATGCTTGATATTATGGTTCTTCAGGGATAGAAACAGTCTCATTTCACCACCCTATTAAGCAAGAAGTCTGCTCTTTTACCACAGCTTGTTTTCCCAACTTTGCCATTGCATTGCTTCTATCCCTGCTGTTCTTCAACTCTATTGGCAAGTCTAGGTCACTGAAGCATCTAGTTATTCCCAGTAGATTGATTCTCTCCTTTCTTCACTTCCTTTCCTACCTAGTTTAGATTCCACAGTAAACCAATTCAGTACCTTTCTTTTTTTAAGGCATTTATTTTTTAAACCACTTCATTGAAGTATGATTGACATGTAAAAAGCTGTACATATTTAATGTATACAACTCGTCAAGCTTGGGGATAAGTATACACCCGTGAAACCATCACCACCGTCAGCAACTTTCTTAACAAAACCCTAAACTCTCTTTCTTGTCTCTCTTTGAATGGCAGTTATTTAGCAAAATTTCAACTTTGAATGAACCCAATCATTTACTTTCTCTGTGTCAAGTCTGCCTCTGAGCAGCCAAGAACTGGTGGTGAAAATTACACACACAGTAGAGGAGATTGAGTTCCCTACATTCGTGATCACAAACTTCAACTGCTGTGTCCTTGCTGTCCCTCTATCCTATTGTGTTTCTCTGACCGAATTACTCTACCTGTCTCCACAGGAAAATTTAAAACCTTCCCCATTCTCTTTACACCTCCCTCTCAATGCTCCCTCCCACTCTTCACAGGTAGCTTTGCCTCCTATTCCACAGGGACAATAGAAGCTGGCAGACAGAAGTCACACTGTCAAACGTAGAAACCTACTTGCCTCTGTCCTACCTTCTCCTCCTTCTCGACATATATAATAGAGTAAATGTCTCTCCTCTAACTTCTTGTTTCTGGACCTCAAACCCTCAGGCCTTCTCAGAAACCTTATAGGATAGATTTTCCTGGAATTTTCCCACCAACATTGAATCATTTTCAAGTCATCTTTACAAAAGAAAAAAAGAAGGCCTTCTTAACCCTCTTCTCAATTAAACTACTGCCCGACCTCATCTCCATTTTCCAAACTACTCCAAAGAGTTGTCTACATCACTGACTCCATTGCTTTAACCACACCAATCTGGCTTCTGGCTCCTCAACCCACTCAAAATGCACTTTCTCTGACTATCAATAACCTCCATATCACTAAACCCAATAGATACTTTTAATTTTGTAGACCTCTCAGCAGCACCTAAAAGAGTTAATCGCTCTTTCCTGCTGGAAATCTCTTCTTTGGGCTTCTGTGATGTCTCACTTTTCTGCTTTTTCTTCTACGTCTCTGTCTGTCCCTCTGTCTCCCTTGCCAGTTCATTTTCCTTTAATCTTCCTTAAAACTGGAATTTCTTGGAACTCTATCATAGGCCCTTGTCTCTTCTCACAGTAATATTTATCCTTAGGAAATCTCATATATTTTCATTGATTTAATGAATATAGATATGCCAGACCACAAACTCCTGTCTTTAGCCCGGACTTCTCCTTTTAGGCCTATATTTCCAATTGTCTGTTCAACATAATTTGAATGTCTAAAATAAAACTCCAATCCCCAAATATTCAAAACCAAACTCATAATTTCCTTCCTCAAATGTAGTTCTTCTTTAGGATCACCTATATATGGATAACAGTGTTACCATCATCATCATTACAAGCACTTACCGTGTGCTTAGTATGTAATAAGCACTGTTTTAAGTTAAAATCAAATAAATGTTATAATTCTTGTTATTCTTACAACACAATGAGGTTAATGCTGTTATTATCCACTTTACACATGAAGACATGAGACACAGAGAGGTTAAGCAGCTTGCCCAAGGTCACAGAACCTGGAAATGGCAGACTTGCGTCTTGAAAGCAAGTAGAGCTCACATCCTTGGCCACTATACTATATTGCTTGTCCTCCTTGAAATCATCTCTTTCTCATCCCACCAAATCCTGTCAATTTTATCTATTTAAATATGTCTGAGCTCTGGTTTTCTCCATCTCCACTAGCCTCGATCTAAGTCAACATTATCTCTGATTTGAATTATTGTAATAGCCTTCTTGTGGGTCTCCTAGCATCAATTCTTGCCTATTTCAGACCTGTCCTACACACTGCAGTCTTTTAGAAAAAAACTAGATGCATTTAAGAAATATACAAACAGAAAAACTGCCCTGCTCCACACAGATAAGCATGCTGTCTGTGACATTGGCACTGGAAGATCTTTTCGAGAAATCATAATCGGGAAAAAATTCT